GCGAAGCCTGGTTCGCGCAGCTGCGAGGCGTTGCTGTGGACGTGGTTGGCGTAGATCCAGATTGCGCCGATGATGCTGGCGTTGAGGAGGATGGTGGCGAGTTGGTAGAGGAAGGAGAGGATGGAGATGGCGCGCGTGTAGCGCGTGTCTGGCACGGTGGTTGGGGTGCCCGGGTAGTGCGGGTAGGCGTAGGCGGAGGTGATGTAGGAGGGGGAGGTGGAGGGGCGGGATTGAAGGGCTACGGTTGCGGATTGTGCGGCGTAGGCGAGGCTGAGACAGAAGAGGCCGGTTAGGACGAAGAGGTGGGTGCTGGTGGCGCTGGGGGAAGAGAGTAGTGTTAGTATAGGGGGTATGTGGGGATGGGGTTGGATGGGGGAGAGGGAGGAGGAGGAGGGGAATTACCTGTGTCTCTTGCCGGTGGACTGCCATACTTTCATCGTCCGTGGTTGGCCCCGTCCACGGGTCATCTGCTTAGCGAAGAGTGCGAGACCAGCGAGGAAGAGCAGAAACGAAACGCAAGCTGTGATGACATGGAGGGAGAAGATGCCCTTGACGGCACTCGACGCATTCGTTATACCCATCTTTGTCCCAACACGATTCAATCAAAGTAACCAGTGTCGGCGTTAGTAGTTATTTTAAAAAAAAGAGTCAACGTCTCAGTATATTTATATCAAAAAGTCGTGTCTCTTGTCTTTTTAAACTGAGATATAACAAGTTCAAGATAAACGACCTCCCCCCCCCTTCCCTCTTGTATACCACGACCACCCCAAACTATGCCGTCACACACTCGACTTCCCAGCCTAGTTACCATCATGACGAACCGCGCCCCTTCAACAAAGTGACGTCCCTTAGCCAGAACAAAAGACGTGTGCCATGGAACCTCCACATCTGGAAGCCCGCCGCGGCCGCCGCCAACTTCCCCCCGTTAGCCACACACGACAACCCACCTTTGCCTAGCCCACCTTAACCACCTTACCTACGCCGGCGCAACATGGGGGCCAGCAAATAAGCCACGCCCGGCGCCACTTTCCATGGCATATGTCTTGAGGCTGTTCGCTTTTTTTTTGTTGTTGCTGGATCAAGTGACGTTGAGCGTGGCCGGCCGTGTTGCGCGGAGCCCAGCGGGATGACGTCGACTATTCTTCGACGCCAACGAAAAAAAAAGTAATGACAACGACTGACCGACCAACTATCCAACTACTACTTACTTCCTTGCATATCGTCGGGAGTGGAGCGGGCGGAGATTGGACCGGTGGTCTTGGAAAGTGAAGATCTAAGCGTGAAAGAAAGCGGTGGTGCTTGGTGCATTGGGTGGTTTGTCAGGGATTGAAGAGGGAGATCGGCGCTAGGATTTGAGATCTGAGGGCGCTGATCGGGGTGCAGCGGGGGGACTAGGGAGGGATCGACGGGGCTGGGCGATGAGGAATATAGGCTGCAAGGTACGTAAAAAGTGCGTGCGTTGGGGTATATGACTTGGAAGTAGACTTTTCCTTGCAGTGATCATTTCTGGTTTGAGAAGGAAGAGGGGATTTGTCATTCAATTCAATTCGGTGCATAAGCAACAACGCCAACTTTCGAATCGATCAATTAATCGCTCTTGCCTACCCCGACGACTCGTCCACTTCCTCTTAAACCGAGTTCTTCGGGGCTTAGGAAGCGGCGTGCGGCTTCGACGTCCTTGGCTGTTCCACCGCTGCTACTACTACTCTTATTCTTCTTGCCGTGCTGTGCGATTTCGTAGTCATTCTCATTCCACCAGCCGCAACCAAAGATGACGAAGAGACAGATTAGGACAAACAGGGCGATGACTGCGAATACAAAGACGAAGAGTGCCCAGACGCCTGAGCTGATGTAGTTGACAAAGGACTCGGAGGCTGAGTTGACGATGTGTGTCGCTGTGCCCTTTTTACCATTGGCATCCCAATCATGGAACCACATTGAGACTTTTCGCGGGCCTTTGGCGCCTCTAGTCCGCGGGGGTGGTCTTTCAATCAAGTGGACCTTGACAATCTCGTAGGCGCCAGCTGGATCACCTGGAGAAAGCAATGGTCGCTGCATCAACACCAGCTCAACGATCTTCTGCTCTTTCCTGTCCAAAAAGACGGTTAGAGGGGGCGAGGTAAGATCGGTCCATAATTCCATGATGTCGAATTGGAAAAGTAGGGCTTTGGGCTCATCCTTGACACGGGCCAGCGTGTACGAATAAGATACGCCAAAGTAGCTGCCGCCGAGATTGTCGAGCTGGTTTGAGGAAATGAGCGTGGCCAAGTCATCAGTGGATATGTCTTCCAGCACTTGATTGGCGTAGATGCGCGGGAGAATCTTGTTGTTTGTTAATAGTGCGGCGTTGTTGATGTTTAGTTGGGCTGAGTCGTAGGGCAGGGATATGTTCAAGAGCTGTAAAAATCATCAGCATATTTATTTAGAAAATCAAAATGTGGTGATGACGGTACCAGAGCATTTGCATCTTTTCTTTGCGTCCATGGTGCATCATTGCCTTTCGATGTGTCTTGGTACAAGAATGGACACTCCACGCAAGGAACCTTGGCGATTACGTTGTAGCCTTCGGCCACAGTCGTAATTTCCGGCGCGACTTCTGCGTTGGCAAATGTAAAGTATGCGATGGCCGAGGCCAATGATGCTATTCGTAATTTCATGTTTGCAGGTGCGAATAGCAAGGCAGGAAAATAGACTATCTTGACACGTTGGTGGTGGTGTGGCGCGTAAGTCAGCTGCGGCGGGTGGGGGCGGCATCAGTTATGTATCATGTGAAGCCGCGACTTAGCGTGTTTGGGATACAAGGTGCTTTACTCTATTTTACTTTTTGGGAAAATATTGTGGGCAGACCGCAATGAAATTTTCCAGAACGCCCTATCTACATCAAAATCATCAAAATCAATCCTCTCTTCAATTTTCGTGATGTTGCCAAATTTTTCGTCGCGCCGTTGAAATCCCACAAGTTTACCTCTCTAATCATACCGTCATGAAATCAACTATTAAAATATGAAAACATGCCAGGAACTCCCTTGCGATGCAACCAATATTAGTGTTTACCATGAATGGTTCTAGATTTCGTCATTCACCATCTCCGACTTATTCATCTCCACCTTCTCTGACCCCATGCTGACTCATCAACATTGCCATGCTCTCGTTATCGTCGCAACCATTGGACAGATCGGAATATGCTTCGTTGGATGTATTTGCTGCTGTGATTTCTTCATCTTTCAACTCTTCATTCATACTGTTTGACTCTTCTTCACACTCCATCGTCCCAGTCAAGACCTCCCGTATCGTTTTGCAACTCCGAAGCGCCTCAACACCTCCGCTCCTGCCCAAGTGTTCTTCGATATCAACCAGCTTCTTCAACATACGCTCTCGGTTTGATACAAAAGCGTGTGGTTGAAGCCTAGGATCAATACTTCCGTGGTTAGTGACGGCAAGGGCTCCGATTTCGATAATCTGCTGGCTTCTCGCAAGTTCTTCGGGGCGCGACATTTGTCGAAAGACAAGACCCTCCGGAAATGAAGGAAAAAATGGATTGTTGTTTTCTATGCTGTGGTTCTGATGAGTGGTGTTGGTGTCGCAGTCGGTGTCCTCTCCTGCGTTCAAGGGTGTTCCAATCGGGGTTGGCAACATACCGCCTACCAATGGGCTAGACTGCAGCGAGTATGGCATGCTCGTAGGCTTCATCGGCCTGCCTCGAGCTGGGGGGCTTTGGCATGAACCTCTTCCATAGTGCGAGTGCTGATCTCTCCCTCGGAGTTCCTCTGGTATAGTTCTGGAACGTGGTGCTTGGAGACGGATGAAGGTCGGATTTGGTATACTTGCAGCTACGACTCGGTCCATGTCTCCATGACTGAGTGATCGTCGGCGACTGCCAGGCTGCCCAAACTGTGTTGAATAGAGGTGGGCATTGTTTGTCTGTGATCTGACGGGAAAAGGCCTCGAATTGAAGACGGACAGAGGTATACCCGCTTCGTAAGATTGAAAAGTTTCGAATGGGTAAGGATGTGGTTTGTCCGGTTCTGGAGTCGGATACGTTAATGAGTGCCGATTAGAGCCGCGATTTGAAGGCTCAGGTGTCGATATGATGGAAGAGCTTGATGAGTCGACAGATACTAGTGAGATATCTCCGTATGGGAAATCAGTGCCGTCAAACACTTCGCTATTGTTCGACGAGAAGATGGCTCCATCCGAACCACCGGGGCCAAATAATTCCTCGAAGTCGGCCTGTGAGAATTGATCCTGATCTGAAGACGAAAGAAACGGATCTTCAGTGGCTCCATCGAATGGCGTGCTTGGCCGAGACATTATGCTGTATACTAATTTATCACAATAGCCTCGGAGCGGTCGAGAGAGCGTATGATCGATTGTGGCACAGAGCTCTATAATTGCGGGAAGGATGTTGCACAGAATATGGAAAGCCGCGTGATCGACGTCCAGATATAGTCGTCAAGCTGTTTATGGGCTGGCCTGGGCTAAGACATATAGCTAAAGAGAGCTTGGTAGACTTGTTGACCGCACTGCGGTGAGCGAATCAGCGAATAGCTGCTTGGTGCATGGCTCAGGGCAAACACCTTTGAGCTGTGGAACAGCCAGTGCTTGGGTATTTTAGAGCATTGTTTGTGCAGCACGCTGAGTTTAAACATTTCATCGTGTACATCTCGATCTTCTTTGCCGTACGTGTCATGCTGTGATACAGTTGGTCTGAGTCAACTCCATTGCAAGTGCACAGATCCTTCTAAAAGCCATGTTTGTTCACCTCGTTTTTGAGTCTTGATCTCAGAAGTGTTTCATTATTGCTGCCGATACGGCGAATCATGGATTCGTGGAATCTGTCGCCTTGTAACGGTACCCAGCATGTCTTTCCCTGTAGCAATACCAAATACTCATACACGAGATGGCTTGCCTTCCTCAGCGGTGGAAGCTGGTGCGCCGCTCATCATAATTTACACGGTATAATATACATGCAAGAACTCGCAAAAAGTGAGTGACCATATTCACTCCTTCTTACTCTCATTATCTTTGCCCTTCTTCTTGTCCCAGTTCCACACATCCCAAATCTGTTCCATGATCAAATCTCCATAACCCTTGCCTTCTTCAAGCGCCTTCCTCTCTTCCTCTAGACGCTTTTCCTTCCATCCCTCGTCTTCATCTCCCATCCACAATTTCCCTAGTACGCCCTTTTGCTGTCCCTCCTTTCTCTCGAGCGCCTTCCTACCCTTTTCTCTCTCCTCTTGCAGTATTCTCTGTGTCTCTCGCGCTCGGTCTGTGGGAAGTTCCATTGCGCGCATGGGAGAAAGGTTCTGTACGAGGCCGCGGCCGGTGCGAAGGGTGATTAGATGGTCGGCGGACAAGTAGAACCCGATTCCTAGCGAGAAAGTATAAAGGTCCAGTTTTCGCGGTGGGAGCAATGCAATTATCGGGCACACCACGAGCCCCCCAATCGCCAGGTTTCGTACTATACGTTCATAGCGTTGTTGTTGTTCTAGGGCTAGGCGTTGTTCCGGTGGGATGGGCACGTTTTGTATGGGATTCGGGGTCGCCATGGGCGGTGTGGGCGCTGCCTGCAGAACCGGAGCGCAAGACGAGAAATTTGTAGTAAAGTGTTTATTTAATGTTTGGTCTGTTTACAGGGTTTCTAGGGTAGTGTGGCGGGGAGTTTTGTGAATGTCAGGTCGAAAAGTTCAATGATGCAAAGACCGAGCGGTTAGCTTCCGCTCGGCTGCAGCTTCCCCACTAGAGCGGAAGGGCTGCGGAGAGCGTATGTACAGTACAAACCAGTTCGCGATATCCAAAAAGCGATACGATCCGCTGTCTCACAAGGGCCGATTTTTTATCCAAAACAAGTGACGCTGAGGCACTTTAGATCTGAGACCATAATTGCCTGGCGCAAATTCACGACGCTGCCAGCGCACCGGCAGAGCTCGTACTGTGCTGCCAAGGTCTTGCACCCTTTTGCCAGAGAGACGACGCATAATCATCGGAATTTTCGTCTTTTTACGTCGGTTCTGTCGTCAAATCGCTCCGTGTCATACCTCACAGGCCCATCGTCTTTCCTGTCTCCTGCATGCTCAAACACCCCACTACTCCTCAGCCGTTTTGTCGGTGTTTTCTCGTATTCGCCTCCACTTTGCTGGTTCTTCACGCCTTCCTCCTCTGTCCCGGCCGGCCCGCCTGAGCTGGGCGCATCCTCGTATTCATCGTACTTTCGCTTCTGTGCCGTGCTAGGAGTCTGCATCAAGCGCCGTAAACGGCTCTCCTGTAGCCGCCTATTGACCTCTTCTGTAACATCGACGTGCTGAACTAGGTGGGTTCCTTCTGCCTGCACTGTTTTTGCGCGTGGTGTAGGTGATTGGCCAGGGAGAGGGGATATGGCATGCGAATTTGATGCGTGAGACTGGGCGTTGGGCGTCGGCGAAGCATACTTTGCGCCTTCAAGACTCAGTCGCTTGTTTGAAGTATTGACCTGCTGCAGTGTAAGGAATCACCGCAAGCGTAGGTGGCGCGCATGCGTACCTTCTTCTCTGCCAATCCTTCGCTTTCAAGCTGGTCTCTGAACCTCTTCATGTCGTCATGCAGTCTACCCGATTTGTTTCGCAACGATATAAGATCCGTCGCCAGCCAGTCGGGGGCATTGTGATCTGTCGCCTCAAGAGTCTCGTTGAGAAACAGCAGCTGGGCGCGTAGGCTGCTGATATGTTGGTCAAAATCCTAGCAAGTGAATAAGTTGTTTGTAAATTTAGGTGGCCGAGTGAATTACATCTAGCGATAGTCTGGCCATGTTGTGTGAGGAGGCTAGTGTGGAGGGCAAGGAAGGTCGCGTGCAGGAGACTTTGAGATTGCGGACTCCCGAACTGCAGGCGGCTCAAGCTATACCCCTGTTTAGCAATGTTCCGACCTACTTCCGATCGGAACCTGCATCTTTTTCTTACAGTTGTGTAACACGAGGTCTCGGTGCGTTTGCCTAACACCAAAGTCTGGCAGATGAACCAATGTATTTCAACATTATCCAAGCCTTTTTCAAAATTGAGCTAGTTGTTGTACCAGAAACAAAGGAGAAACAGTAGCAAATACCAGCACTAGTCGAACAAAGCCAATGCATGCAGTGTCGGCTCGCAACAAACACAACCTTCATGTCCTTGCCTCATCATCTGGTAGCTTTATCTCCTGTAAATCCCAAATCCAAGGGACTGGAGGAGCCAGGCTATGTCCGTGCTGTATGATGTGGGTGGCTTAGCATTGACGCCGTTGATCGGACTAACAGACCATGTAGCCCATGGGCAACCGAAGTAGCATTTCCCATTCGGGCATTCTAACCGGAGGATCAAGGTAGAAGTGAGGTCTCCTGCTGAGAACATGCCTGACACCAAGCAAGATTACGTGTCTGTGAAGATGATGTAGATTCTGACGCTTCTCATCCCTCATCTTCGTCTCCAAAGGTAAGCTTGACTGCTTTGGCTTTCTTTTTTGGCTTCTTGGCTGGTTTGATGGTGGGTTTTTCGGCATCCCTTTCTACTTCGCTCCTATTATCGCCTTGATCATCGCCAATAATCTTCGCGGCCTTGCGCTTCTTTGTATTTGCACCAACTTCAGCAATTTTGTCTTTGGGTTTCGACTCATCTTGCTTGGTTGCCTTTTGCTCGGCTTCATCTGCTACCAGGTCTTCTTCGCCCTTGCTATCCTTGCCAGAGACGAGTGCATCATACTCCTCTTTGCTCAACGACTGGTTAGTATCTTCTAAGACGTACGTTGGCGCATCATCTTCATCATCGTCTTTGTTCATCCTCTTATTTCTGGCAATGGGATGTTCATGACGAGCAGTATCCCCACTTTGAAGTTGCCCACGCAGCCGCTGCAAGAAGGCTGGCTGAGAGCTGTCTGCGCTAATCAGTACCGTTTCCACTCTTCTGCTGGCGCACTCACCAAAGTGCAGGTCCTTGGCCTTGAAGCTCATGGTGAGGCCGGTGGTGCAAGGGCTGGTGATGCAGGAATCTATGCCGAAGACTGGATGGGATTGCAGGGCTGGGGTGATGTTGTATCTGTCTGTCGCTTACGTAGTAGTGGCAGTCTCCCGTGCGTCCCTTTCAGACAGTCTCGTGCGTGTCCCTGAACCAGAGATTGAGCGGATTTTCTGCGACTCCTTTATTGATAGGCTGTTCAGGGTACAGGTATGGAGGCTGTGTGTCGGGCCTAGTGCGTGAAAGATCCAGCCCTCATAGCTGCAGTCTCCTGCATTGGCCAGCTGCATCTATCTGTCTGCACCTATCGAGCTGCGCTCTACCTACGTTAGTGAGCTTGGCGCGTCTCCACCGATATGTTCCCTGTCAATTAGCACTTCTCGAAACGCATACGCAATCGCCGACCGTTAATAATTTACACTCGACAACCCCGGTTTCCCCTTTCGACACTCACCCCCGACCTCTCGACTCACAGAGTGTCGCGCAAAGTCCAGATTCCCATTGATGGTCGCATACCGATTCGGAACTGCCACCCAACGACGCTTACACTCCTCACTCGCCCCAAACCCGGCCGTATCAGAACACATATCTGGCCGCCTACGACTGGCATTACCTAGCAAAGAACTGCCACTGGCAGTAACGTCTTTCAACAAGGCCGCCATCACAGCGTCGCAACCATGGGCCTCCTGCAGGACATGACGCAGAGGCTGCCAACGACAAAAGAGAGCCTGGACAGATTCGACGACCTCTCGCGCCGTGCTGAAAAGACGACTCCTCGATTGTCCTTCTTCCGCCGCCGGGTACGACTGAAGGGATCTTCGTCCGTTTCCATTCCACTGGGCCTGGTGCTCCTCTTTCCATGTCTTGTAATAATCATAATCATAATTCTTTTTGTGAGGTCGCCAGACTCTCAGGGTATTATGAACATGCCTGCGGGCACCCCGCCGTCAATAAGGTATCATCGCCCTTATCGCAGTAGCATGCAACAGACGACTAACAATTCACAGAAAGATCAGCGAAAAATATGACAAGCCCTTCGCTGTAGGCTGTCTCGAGCCCCAGGTCAACGGACCCCGAGCAAACGCTGCCTTCGTAGTGCTAGCAAGAAACAAGGAGCTAGACGGCGTCATACAGTCGATCAAATCCATCGAGAGACATTTCAATCGGTGGTTCCACTACCCATACGTCTTCCTCAATGACGGCGACTTCAACGAGACATTCAGGGAGGTGGTCTTGAAGCACGTTAGTGCTCCGGTCGAGTGGGGCAAGATAACGCCAGAGCAGTGGGGCTTCCCAGACTGGGTCGACCCTGATGTTGCTAAGGAGGGCATCGCAAAGCAGGGAGACAATGCCATCATGTACGGTGGTATGGAGAGCTACCATCACATGTGTCGGTTCTACTCAGGGTACGTTTAAGAAAACACTGCAAGTTGGGGCTGGACTAACTTTCCATAGTAAATTCTACCAGCACGAATTACTTGCCAAATACGACTGGTACTGGCGTCTCGAACCGGAGATTAAGTACTTCTGCGATATCACATACGACCCTTTCATCCACATGATTCGGAACAAGAAGACGTACGGCTTTACAATTGCTGTGAAAGAGTTGAGGGAGACGGTGCCCAACATCTGGAGATATGCATCGGCATATAAACGAAACAACAACCTTACTTCCAAGGGCATGTGGGAAATGTTCGTCGAGAAGCCTAAACCTGAGGACGAGAATGCACAAAAGAATGAGCCCAAACCGAAGAAGAACTTCTTCCCACAAGACATTATGGACTCGGAATTCGGCTCAGACGCGTTGCCTGAGATCCACCCCGAAAACATGGAGGGCGAATCGTACAACATGTGCCATTTCTGGAGCAACTTTGAGATTGCCAACCTGAACTGGTTCCGTAGCCAGGAGTACAACGATTTCTTCGAATTGATGGATCGCAGCGGTGGTTTCTGGATGGAGAGATGGGGAGACGCGCCCATCCACTCGTTAGCTGTGGGAGCACTGCTTGGCCCCGAAGACATTCACTACTTCCGCGACTTTGGGTACCGGCACACTACTATTCAGCATTGTCCGGCCAATGCCCCTGCACGACAGCTGCCTAGAGACCCCTACCTGGAGCTGACGACCGAGAACGAGAAAGAGCGAATTGAGGAAGACAAGTATTGGGCGACGCCAGACCCTGTCAAAGAAAACGGCGTCGGGTGCCGTTGTAAGTGTGACACGGATATCGTCGAGGTGGAAGGCAAAGAAGGGTCTTGCTTCCCTGAGTGGGTCGAGGTGGCGGGCGGTTGGGCTTCGCCCTAGGCACCAGAACCGTGGTCTCTTCGTGTTGCGTACTTTTCTACCAGCCTCCAGTGAGCATTTTGTGGGCGCATTAGCATTGACTACTGGTTTCAGTAAGGCGTAAGGTGTTGGTATTGCATGTCTGTTGGGCGGCCTTCCAGCAGAGGATCATCAGGACTATGCGGGCGTTGTCGGTGCGCCTCGGTTGCTGCAATATGGGCGGAATTGCCATATATCTACGAAGACGAACCACATTTCAAAAATGTATGAGTAGGCTTACAGCCTGGAAGCGAACCTTACTAGCTATAACTGTTCCTTTGTCGTGGGTTTGGTGTTCGCCCCCACCCCCTTTGTCCATGTGAACCATGTATCGTACCCTATCGCTTACTATGCGGGGTACCCCCGTTGGCATCATCCCGCCTTCACCATGCATCCAGCTGCGCCGTGCCATGATCATTGTTTGCGTATACTTTGAACAATGACCTGGATTTAATGCAAGCGTTTGAAGCATCATCATTCACGCTCACAGTAAGCAAGCCCGCAGGTGCTTTCATTTGCTCCGTATCTGCCCCACCCTGCCCCAAGGCACCCTGACGCGCCTCCCGTTGCTAGTCAGGCAGCGGCGACCAGGTGCCCACTGCTACCTATTCCCACCCTTGCCCCTCCATCTACTTACCTTCCTCCTCCACACCTGAGGAGTTGTAAACACACTGTCTCCTACATGAATTCAAGCTGACATGCCTTCTAGCGAATCTCTTGCTTCTCCAGATCTCAAGTTTCCTCCCGTGCGAGTGAACGGGTCACTGACAAGGCTTGACCTTGAAACGCTTATGATGCGGTCCACCCAACGCCCGCAGCCAGAAGAGGCAAGCAGCGCTCTTGAAGATAGCAACTATGATATGCTCGGCGATGGGGTAATGGATGTATCGGACGATGAAGCTCACACGGCATCGATCGCCTCGACCGACGCTCCAACTCCCGATGACACATCCGACGAGTTCACTGACGATGAGGCCGACTACGAGATGGGTGACCGAGGCTTACAAGATAGCATCTATTCATCGCAAGCCGAACCTCCAGAGCAGCAATCCGCCGCACGCCCCGCATTAACAGGCGAGGACTCGACGTTGACCGAAGTGCCGTCATACCTGTCTGGGAGTGAGAGCTCTTGGCGCATCACACTAGATGAGCAGCCAACGGACAATGACGAGGCTGTCCAGGGAGGTAATGTCATTCAGAGCTCGACCGACTATACGGACGAGCTCCCACAAGTATTCAGCCGTTACGGCTGTGAGGAGGTAAGGCTGTCCGTAAAGGCAGCCTTATCGAAACACCCCTTGCCCCCTCCAGATTCGTACAAGATACTATACATTGGAATGCCTGAGAGATGGGCAGAAGACATCACCACTACCCAGATTGCTATGGCACTCGGTGCTTACCCTAACCTCTCCAAGTCGGTCATGGTACGCGGGCAGGTCGAACCATACGTCCCTGTCCCGCAAGTTTCTCGCTGCACCGGTCTCGAGGTTGTGACCTCACGTGGAAAGCCAACACGTATCGCGGCCAAACTAGAGGATGGCAAGCAGCTCGAGTTCAGCCATAGCATGGCTGCTCACTCCCTAGACCAGCCAGATCTTGTCATCATGTGTCATCGAACACAGCCACACTCGCCTACTGAAAGAGAGGCCGTTGATTTCGCCAGAACGATCTTTGCATGTGCCGAGATACCATGCATCGAACTTGCCCAGGTCATCCCCCATGGTATACCATCGCTCGTGGAGGACCCGGCAGCGTTGCAAGTGCACGTTGAGGGCCGAGACGACCCAAACACTGACTACGAGCTGAAAGCAGTATTGCCCCTGAATCATCGCGGCTTTAGTAGATTGGACCCATCGCAACTTAATCGTCACCTTGCTCATATCAGCCCTCGCCTCATGATTGCACGAGACACAAAAGACAGCACAAAGGCACAGACATCATGGGTTGGCGGTAAGATCAAGACGTTCGCGAAGAAGATTGGAGTGCAGTTGCCCTCGGCAAGAATGCTCATATCTGCGCTGGTTTTGTGTGTATTGATACCCGCCCTATTCCAGGGCGCAGCCTTTGCCCCTATGCTACTCCAGAAGGCTTCACGAAGCGTATCGGCATTATCAGGCCTCACTGAGGTGGAAAACATTGATCCCAGCATTACCCCTGTTGCATCGGAACCTGCACGACTCGTGACATCCATCTCTTCTTCGTGTATCCCAAAGGCAATGGAAGCTCTTACAGTCATGCCGGCTTCACTGAACCAGCCTATCAAAAAGCCAAAGACAGAAGATGGAAAGATTGGAAGCTTTGAGCTCCAAGCCACTGGGGATCACCAATTCATACTTCGCCCTTCAAAGGCATTTTCTTCGAGGCGTAAGAGACCTCAGCTTCAAATCCAGATTGCTCGTCAGTCACAACAAGTTCCTATCCGGTACAATCGAACTATGACTGGGGAATACATTGTCGACCTCGAACACAAGTACCCATACGACAAGTTTAACGTCAGCATTGCAACTCACTCAAAGCCTCTTTTGCGGCAGTCCTTTGAAGTCATGCTCGGCCACAACAAGTCGATGCTGGAACAATTCATGGATAATGCCAGATCTGGTCTCATGAGTACCCAGGATGCTCTGCGAAATGTTTCCTTGATGGCGACACAGCACATGCAAGCCTACATGGACGTACGGGATATCGATGTCGCCAGTGCCTCTGAGCAGATGCAACAAGTCCGGCAGAAGTTTCAGGAGCAATTGCAAGTGAAATGTCGTCTGGCAAAACAGATACCTGGAGCGGCATGGGTGGGTCTGCGCGAGGCGACAGCGCCGGTACGCACATCACGGGCAATGAAGAGAGCTAGGATGAATGCACTTCGCCTTCGATGCAAGATGGAAATTGCTGCAGGACTGTCTGGGAAAAATGGCGAAGAGAAGCAGAGCTGGGCGTGCTCCAAAGTGAGGGGGGATATGTGAGATGGGATTGGGTAGAGGGTACTCGGACACTCAAGTCCATGGGGGGATTACTGTGGGAGGATGCCATGTTTGCTTCTGGGTTTTTCTTTGGTGGGATAGAATATGTATATGTTGCAACAGCATTTATTGATGGACACAAGGGCGTGGAGTTATGAACATGATATCCGGTGTGCACACTGGACTGGTTGAGGCGAACTGGCGCGTGGCGTTTGTATGGGGGCGTTGGGCTGATAGGTTAGTGAAGTCGGGTTACAGTTTCAATGTATTTAGCACAGTAATACTCTGGCCGAATGAAACCTTGCGTCCCAGCCTTGGTGTACAAGTGTACATGCACTAAAAATTCGGCGTTTGATTTGGTTTGATGTTGTACATTAGTGCACGGAAAGCAACATGTGCACTGCGGGAAAGGTTGTGACACAGGACGTTGACGGAATAGCATGTTGGGCAGGGGTGGCACGCACGTCAGTGGGCCTAAAGAGGTAAAGCGCGAAAGGGAGGGGCATGCATCCCACTTGCTCAATTTGTGGGCAGACTGTTTGACACTGAACACCCACTCCTGTATCTACCTAACACAAAGACTTTGTCTCGCCACTACATACCAACCCCCAGTATACATTACCAATACAACAACCATGTCTGAAGCAGCCAAGCCCGACCCAGCCGCCGACCAGGCCGCCAACCCTGGCCCAACTCTTGTCAAGGACGAGACTGCAAAGGTGACGACTGACAAGCTTGCCGACAAGGCCGAGGCGACGACGGAGAGCACAGACAACAAGCCCCTCACGGAGAAGGCGACAGAGGCGGCGGCCGCAGTAAAGGACAACGTTTTCTCCATGTTTGGTGGCGGACCCGCGAAGGCGAAGAAGGACGAGGCCGATGACGTTGACGAGCCGTCAGGCTCTTCCAAGAACAAGGCCGATGTCGGTATCTCCGTCCAATTGGTTTGGAGGTTATGCTAACGTTGCAATAGGACGAGAACCCAGAGAACGAGGAGCCCGATGTTGAGTTCCAGCCCGTCGTCCACCTTACCGAGAAGGTTGACACCAAGACCAACGAGGAGCTTGAGGAGCAAGTGTTCAAGATGCGCGCCAAGCTGTTCAAGTTTGACAGGGAGTCACGGGAGTGGAAGGAACGAGGCACTGGCGATGTTCGGTTACTGAAGCACAAGGAGAACGGCAAGACGCGCCTTGTCATGCGACGAGACAAGACTCTCAAGGTTTGCGCCAACCATTACGGTATGAAGTGACTCGATTGGGACGGTAAGATAATGATACTGAGACGTGCATAGTTGTCCCCGACATGAAGCTGTCACCCAACGTAGGCAGCGACCGCAGCTGGGTCTGGAACGCCGCAGCCGATGTCAGTGAGGGCGAGCCCGAGGCGCAGACGCTTGCGATCCGCTTTGCCAACAGTGAGAGTAAGTATTGATTTGTTTGTCTAGATGGATAAAAGGAGGCTAACCATTTGTGCCAGACGCCAACCAGTTCAAGGAGGCCTTTATCAAGGCCCAGCAAGAGAACGAGGCGCTCTTTGGCAAGTCGGAGTAAGAGAGGTCATGATGAGGCCAAGGAAAAGGTAACGAGGGATTATGGATTATGGATTATGGACTATGGACGAGGATGAGCATGCATTGCACGAATAGCGAGGAACGGTTTGGGATGATATTATATCCTGGTGGTAGTAGACGTGCCCCATTATCAGCACAACAATTAGATAGTAACTCGATAGCCTGGCTAATAAAGTCAATGGCACTTCCCCCAAGTCGGCTTTCTCTGTAAATCGCCAGTGTCAGGTTATCTCTATCCGTGCCAGCACTGTGCCAAGCTTTCTCTCACTCTCACTTGGCAGTGTGAGAAGGGCGTGCAACAAGGGCCGTGGTTGTGGTATCAGCACGTCTCTCACCTGATGAAGTAAAGCAGACCAGAACCCCTGTCCGGCAGCCTTGCAATGGTGCAGCCGTTGTAGAGCTTGACCGTTGATGCCAAGGCCCAGAAGATCGAACGAGTCGTAGTCAGCCTCCGCCCGCCCCGCCGCGACGTGCATCACCTAGCCTCCGCCAAATCATAGCTCGCGACCAGCGACCAGACCAGCCACCGCCTGCACTTCCAACCCTCTTCTCTGCCCAACGCGTTCAAACCTTATCGCCAGAGGCACACTACCAAAGTCGCATACATCCGGACTACCGTCTTAGCCTGCATTCGGTGTATACCTTGTGTGGAACACGGCGGCTTCCAACAACTAGTTACTCTGCCATACTCAATCCTCACGGCGCAAGTCAGACAAGATGCCAGACGTACGTTGCACCCTCGACAAATGCGCACCTCCTCGCACAAACACTAATAGTCGAGCAGGCCAAGCGATGGGTCAAGCTCATTACTCACCAAAAGCCCATGTACGTCTGCATTGCGCGCAGTCGCAACCGCTGTCTTGACGCGTATCCACAAGGCCACCCGCTAACACGCGCACAGTGACGAGCCTTCACCTGTCGAGGGCTTTCCCATGCGAACATGGAGTATAGAGATCTGGCTACTTGACGATCAGGGTAACGAGGTCATGCCCAACGTCTTTGAGAAGGCTGTCTACAACCTCCACCCATCCTTCGAGAAGCCCAAGCATGGTGCGTGTGCCGTGCCGTCTTGCCTTAATTACAGCTTTGCTGACCCCGATAACAGTCCTCAAGAAGCCCCCTTTCCGTATCGAAGAGAAGGGCTGGGGTGAGTTCGACATGACCATTGTCCTGACCGCTGTCGGCAAAGGCGGCGACCACACCCTCGAACATGACCTCAACTTCCAGTCTGAGCGCTACGAGGCCAAGCACCAGGTGGTATGTATACAGTCAGCACCGAAGATTTTCTAGCCACCAAATCGCTGACTCTGTGCCAGACCTTCCGGAATCCCAAGCCGGAGCTCCTCGCCCTCCTCGCAGAATCCGGTTCCGCCGAGGCAAACGGTATGCGCAACAAGGATGCTGCCAAGAAGAAGAGCCGAAAGGACAAAAACGTCGACATGGAGAAGCTGGCAGATGGCCTGCAAAAGCTTGGTGAAGACGACCTCCTGCACGTTGTCACTATGGTCCACGACAATAAGACGAGCGAGACGTACACGAAGAATGATGTAGAGAGTAAGTTGGCCCAACTGCTCAGATGAGACGAGATATACTGACACTCAATAGACGGTGAGTTCCATGTCGACCTGTACACGCTACCCGACTCCCTCGTAAAGATGTTATGGGATTTCACGGCCTCCAAGGTAGATCTGTAAGCCAGCCTTGCAGTCCAGCCATCTTGTCTTTGATCAACGCGTCCTGATCTACAATCACACACAAACACATGATGCCTCATGCGCCATTTCCAACCATCTTACCACATCCTCTCCAAAGACCCGAGTAGCAGCAATCCGCCGCTTACTTCACAAGCAAGATTCGCATCTGTGTAAAGATGCGAGACCTCTCCTTCCTGCCTGGACGTGATGCGGTCAAGATCTGGAGGATAATCTCATGTCTTATTTCGTTCCACTGTACCCTCTCCTCAACTTCTAGTTATTCACGAGCCTCGGAGTTAGACACGGGCTTCTTTTCATCTTAAAAAGGGCTGGATGGATGTGTATGGGTGGTTTTTCGCAAATCAGCGACCCTCCTTGTTTTTATGCAACCGGAGGGGATTCGTGGCTGGTGGATGCGTATACCAGGTTTTCATTATATATCCTTTTTTCCCCTCCTCTCTCTGATAAAGAGGGCAATGCAACCATTGGTGTAATCCGTTTTTTGTGAAAGGAAATGAAGTTATGAGAGAAGAAGAAGAAGAAGAAACGATATTGCGATGTTAACGCAAAGACGAGAACGAAAAAACAACAGTCAGAGCAGATTGCAAATGTATCTGCTTACCACTGGGAAACATTAATCTATCGTACAGTCCATCCATCTCCAAGCACATGATGCTTTCATCACTCATCCATATCGTACATCTAGCAACTATCTCCATCCCTCTCCACATTACACATTCAACCCAAACCCTAGTTCCACACCACTCACTTCTTACCTTCATCTCCACCACCAAGCCACCCCTCCACCGTAGCCGCCAACCGCCTCGCCTCCTCCCTCCGTTTCACCCCCACCGCCGCAGCAGTCGCCCGCCACTCGACCGGCACCCGTCTCAGCACCGCGCCCCTGGTCCTCCCCCTTGCAGCCTCGCCACGCAATCGAGATAGCGAGCTACGTTTGAATTTCGCCCTCGCACCATCCGGGTACCGTATCGTGCCTGTGAAGAAAGATGCGTGGCGTTTGATGAGGATGGGGATGCGTACGTGCCTTACTCGGGGCCGTGAAGTACGTTTTCTGATCGTGGGTTTGCGTTGCTTGGGCGAGGGCTTGCGCTTAGAAAGGGGTTTTCTTGCTGTGGGATCTGCACCGACGTTGCTCTTGTGGTAGCGGATTTTTGTGCCGAATTTCCTGTGACGTGGAAAGTGCAGACGACGGGCGCGGCGAGCGCGGGATAGAGAGCGTCGGGGCTTGGTTTGTGTACGTAGTCGACGGGGTTGGATGCTGGTGAGGATAGCGCCGGCTTCTTCTGCTAGACAGGCGGTTTGGAAGGCTAGGATGCGGGATGTTTTGCTGAGTGCTTCGGGATCGCGCTCGGTTGAGATGGTTAATTTGCGGATTAAGGGTTCTTTTGACTTTTTTGCCTTGGATTTAGGTTTCTCCCCTTTCTGCTTTCTTATGTGCGTAGTAGCTTTTCCCGTAAAGTTTTTCTTGCCAGTGACGACTTTACTGATTCTTCCACTTTCGTGCGCCCTCCAGGAGCCTTGCCTCTGGCAGACTGACATTACCGCTTGATATTCAAGTTTCTGTCTCTCAAATCTCCTCCGAAGTTCGTATAGTATGCGCTTTGCTGTGCGAAAGCGGAGTCGTCCAAACGTACTGACACCAGCAATACCAAGGGCATGTACCAATTCTGATATTGTAAAACTGGGCGAAGAGTATGGGTGAGTATCTGCACTTGGAGATGATCCACTCGCTTTTGTTCGTGACTCCTCCAGTCCTGGTCTTTGGTGTACGGAATGGGATGACTTAGTGCTACCGGTTGAACCCTCCAAATCCACGGCTGCGTTCTCGGATTGTGTATTTGAGTTTATTGTAGAGCTGGAGAATTTGCACATAGACACTGGTCGGTTGACAGTCAGGATACGTCGGATTTGAATTTTGCGCAGATCATTTGAAGGTGAGTTAACCAAAACATTTCCTGCGTGACGAGGATAAGAGTTCAAAGAGTTCCATGGTGATAAAGAGTTCAGTTTATTTGGAGTTGAATTTTGCTACTTAAGAATCAGAACACATGCTCGAGTAAAGATCACCCCGAAGCAGGCTCACCTACGTCCTTGTCATTACCGTCCTGTTCCAAGTTTGTACATGTCGTAGAGTCGGCATGTGAATCATTCAAGCTGGTGGTCCAAAGGCGCGAAAAGGGGACGTCAAGCTTGGTTGTATAGACTGAGCTAGTCTCGCCCACGTCTTTCCCACGGCGGCGTATTATAGTCAAGGCACCTTCTGTCAAGGCGCCGAAAGTGCCCTGGAATACAGTAGAGCGATGCTTTTCCGTCGTCATGTGCTGCCAGGACTCTCCGGGAATAGAATCCATCGTGCTAGGAATGGTACCTAGCTCCCAGCCCCAAGACCTATTGACCTTTGACAGCGTTGAGATCGTCCCATAGTTGTCAGCCTCACGAGCCTCTTGAGCAAGTTCAGACTTTGGTAAGGTGAAGAATTGTATCGAGTCACCATCTTGCACAACTGGTGTAAGAGTTGATTCAAAGTTTCCTGGGTTGTCAATGCTGGTTGGGGCGCCTGGACCAGAAGATTTATTGACTGGCATGGGATCCAACGATAGCAAACCTGCTTTCTTTCCCCATCCACCTCCTCCACTTAAGACACGGTGGAGACGCGCCCCTTCCGAGAGGGCTTCGGATACAAGTGTATTCCAGACAGGTGGTTCGCTGCGCCACAGACGTTCCCAAGCTTGGTCTGGGCCAGTTGAAGTCGGTTCATTTTCAACCGGAACGCTAGATAAAAGTTTTTCAGTCTTTTCCGTGATTTTGTCTTTCAGATCTCTGGGTATGATCAAAGCCCAAGCAACTGTGGCTTGCACCTGTTGACCCCTGGACAAGAAGAACCTAGGAACCACATTCTCAAGCTCCGAGGATGCCTGGATACTACTGCCATCGGTGTCGACAACACGACGAATGATGTTACCCATACATCCCTCTACAATTCGAGGCAAAGTAAGCGGAAGCAATGGGATGCTAAGAGCAGATTTGGTGTCCGGAGTGGGACCATCACTAGCTAATCGAATGACATGGTGAGAAGGACTTGTCTGTGTGACCTTGGTCAATTCGCCACTTGTGCTGTTTTTCTCCCATCTTGAACTGATCATGGTTGTCGGCATTCCTGTTTGAAATACAGTGTTGGCAAGGGGTAGCCGCAATGTGTCAAGACAAATGTCATCGTTAAGTACACGACTCGAGGTGATGAAGTCGATTGTACCTTGCTCCGATGGGAGGGAGGACTCATTGGATTCGATAGAAGCACTGGATGGGAGAGAAACATAGGCTATCCCTTCAAAACCTGTTCCCGCAACGGGCGTGTCCACTTTGCGCCGTGATAACTGAGAGTCCAAGGTACTGCCATTCGATGGGTGTGGAACCGGCAGCTTATCTACGACAGCACAAAGCGCACGTATGTCAATATGTGGTGCCTCAGTTGCCTTTTTGTAGATTCGTACAAGGGCGCTACGAAGAAAAGCATCATGATCGAGTAGGAAATGTGCGTAGGAGGGGGTAACAAAGAAGACGGCGAAAGACTTCTTGTGGGCAACGACAGTTGGCAGTGGCTTGATGGAATTGAACAGATCATGGGGCTATGAAGTCGTAAGCACGCGGCATTCGATTGAAGTGCGGACTTCTCACATGGGCGTGGACAGAGTCCGGAATGATTATGCCACCATGTATGGTCCTTCGTTTGGCTGCTTCATTGAGGTCGGTGGTTGATGGAGAAACAGTGTAAGAGCGCAGTGGAGAGCGCCGACTGCGCAGAACAGCAGAAGCACGCGTCAAAACTGGCCATTGTCGGGCAGCCAGCAGAGGCATTTGTCGAGGGTCAATTGACGGCGGCGCGGGACGAAAGTGGTGTTGAACATGCGGGCATCCATGACGCCTCGACGCTAGGGTGCGTACGTAAGCAGCGCCGCGACATTCGCGACGGGGTATGGCCCCGACAATGCGGAGATTCCTCCTGGAATTAATCTGTCCACGACCACTCTTGCACTCTCCTCCCACCGTGCCCTCATCCTTAACCCCCCTCAATTCTACACGCAGCCCGGCCTCCAGTGCACACCTTGTGGCTGTGCAAGCCGCCAAAACTTTCTCCGAGCGCCGGCTAGGCCACGTCTCGCGCACCTCCTTGCGCCCAATTACCCTCACCACGACCACCACTTACCGCCTCCAACTTCTGATGCGCCAACCGTAGGCCCTTTTCCACTCTGGCAGCCGCGGTTCGCCTTACTCTTTAGTTTCCTCCAGCCACCATGTCACGCTCGCTCCGACGCCAGAATCCCATCACCATAATCCTCGCTGGTATCCTCTGCATTGGGTTCTTTATCTTCTTCTTCTCCGGCAGCGATGTCCCCTCCATGTCCAGGGGTAGCGGCGATGTAGCCTCTAACCCACTATCTCCGCCATCATTACCTTTTCGCAAGTCGAAAGCCAATTCTCCTCAGGTCGCGCCGCCAGTTGTACATTACTACATGAACAATGTGACCAATTCCCGCACGCCTGCTGAGAACGAAGAAGCAGTTCTCATCCTCACTCCATTGGCCCGGTTCTACCAGGAGTATTGGGACAACCTCCTTAAACTCACCTATCCCCACCACCTCATCTCCCTTGGATTTATCATCCCAAAGACAAAGGAGGGCAATGCTGCATACACTGCATTGCAGGCACAGGTAGCAAAGACCCAATCGGGTACCAAATCGAAGCGATTCGCTGCCGTCACCATTCTCCGCCAGGACACCGAGTCCCCCCTACAATCACAAGACGAGACCGAGCGTCACAAGATGGCGAACCAAAAGGCGCGGAGAGCAGCCATGGCAAAGGCACGAAACTCGCTCTTATTCACAACGTTGGGTCCCACGACCTCTTGGGTTCTATGGATGGATGGCGACATTGTTGAGACTCCACCCACATTGATTCAGGATCTGGCCGATTACAACGTGCCAATCATTGTGCCCAACTGTTTCCAGAGATACTACAACGAAGAAAAGAAGGCCATGGACATTCGCGAATACGATTTCAACAATTGGATCGACAGCAGCACTGCACAGGAACTGGGCAAGAAGATGGGCAAGGACGACATCCTGCTCGAAGGTTATGCAGAGATGCCAACCTACCGTAGCCTGATGGCCAAGATGTACGACCCGTCGGCGGATCCTCACGCAAAGGTCAAGCTCGACGGTGTAGGAGGTGCCACATTACTAGTCAAGGCCGAAGTCCACCGAGACGGTGCCATGTTCCCGCCATTTTCCTTCTACCATCTCATTGAGACGGAGGGCTTTGCCAAGATGGCTGCCCGATTAAACTGGGAGAGTTATGGACTGCCCAACTACCTTGTACGTGCCCTTTCTCGATACTTTACGATAATCTCGATGCTAACAGTAACTTTAGGTGTACCACTACAACGAGTAACAAGGTCAACGGCGAAATTTTGAAGTTCTTGCGGGCTGTTCCGTTTCGGTGGTCATTGGGCGGCGTTGGAAAGGGCGGTTTGAAGACATTACTGCAATCATGAGTCCTACCGCCGCGTATTTGTGGCAACAATGTTTTGGAGGTATGGTGGCTTGCTGAGCAAGAAATATACCAGTTAGCAATTTTTAGACTTGAAATACCAACATGACAGTTTTTTCATTCAATCGGACACTTGATTTTTGGAGCAAAAGAAACGGTCATGCATGGTACGTGGAAGCCGCTCAGATGTTGGCATCTAACAAACTTGCTGGTTGGTTCGTTGCGGAGAATGTGCACCCCCGATAGGCTAGCTATTGCGACCCACAGGATGAGCTCCACAGACTCGCTGACCACTGCGATAATGGCGATATGTTCTTTTGATGTGACCGATTCAACAAGTAGCCTACATATGCACCTCCAGCTCCATCATGTAGGCCATATCGAGCCCTTATCTCTTTCCCCGCGGGGATTGTTTCAACGCGCGCCAGGAACATCCAAGTCGCCTTCCCGTGCTTAAATGACGTTTCCCGAGTCCCGAGGAATGTCTACATGCCGCTGCTTATCACGTCAAATAAGTCAATATCCCGCCAGCCGCAACATATCCCAGTGCTTGCACACTTCCCCGCGTATCCATCTGTAATATCGAACCTTTTTTTGCCCTTGGATTAAGAGAATAGAAAAGGATACGCTATTGCATACACAGCTTTACCTGCGGATCCACAATGGCATCTATCTCAGGCCCACGCAAACGCATCTCAGACTCGTCACGCGCAGACACACAAACGTCATCACAACCCATAGCACCAACAGAGACATCGCCTATACTCCCGTCTAGCAAACCCAGCTCGATAAAAGATTACAACACGCTTTTCCCCGAAATGCGCGCTCGCGACAACGCACACCAGTCTTCCGGCCTGTCCGCTACCAGCGACTCCGCAGCCGGCGCAGAGCAAGAAGGCACAGGGGGATCGAACCTGCAGCCCGCGCGAGAGCACAAGAAAAGCGATAGCAGCTCCGACGTATCCAACGGCACACGAGGCACACGACAGTCCGAAAATGGAGTCCACACCGACCCCAGAGCAACAACAGCAGAGTCCGCAGCCGCAGCCACCATGCGGCGGGAAAAAGGATGGTGGGCAGGGTTCTGGGAGAAATACGGAAGCGTAGAGTTGGATAACAAGGGGAGTGTAGCTAGGGATCATTTGGCACTGGGTAATGCGCTCCCTCTCTTCTTCCCATTACATCTTCAACCCGTTCAAACGCGCTGACATGTGATAATATTGGGAAATATAGAACGTACATTTCTCGCCTGGCTCCGCACTTCGCTCTCCTTTGCTAGCATCGGTATAGCGATAACGCAGCTCTTCCGGCTGAACACGTCGCTGGCGGATTCGCCAGATCGTTCCTCGCCATCGTCGCACCAGATCAAGATGCGGCAGCTGGGGAAGCCGCTTGGCGCGACATTCATAGGGATAAGTATCGTGATGCTGTTGATTGGGTTTCACAGGTACTTTGAGGCGCAACATTATGTTATACGGGGCAAGTTTCCTGCCTCGAGAGGCAGCATTATTCTAGTTAGCGCCATTTCGGGCGCGCTGATAGGAAGCAGTCTGGTCGTCATTTTGGTCACGGCGCCCGGTGCATTCGAGACTTGACCACGCCGATCAAGGAAAGGGAGACAGGACTCGGTAAACTCGCTTGCTTGCTTTAAGTTTGGGTATCTTTGATTCATTTGCCTCGTACGTAATTCCTTTCCTTTTTTCCCTCTTCTTTGGAATCCTCACATATGCATTCACCGCAAAATGCCGTCTCTTACAGATACAGATCCACATCAGTCCTGTAGATCGAACGCATATATCCCACAAGCACCTGCAATCCAGTCCTCTGATGTCATAAAATTTTCATGCTCAAAACATTTTATGATCCCTTGGTAATCATCTCCGTCATCTCTTCTGTCGTCTTTCCGGCTCGCGAGGACTTGATGACGGTCTGAATCATATCTTCGACAGCGTCCCAGTCCGATGTGTCGATGGGGTGTAGGTCGGTCCTGAAGTATGAGGCAATCGCGTGCAGTTGCTGCCAGCTTGCCTTGTCGTGTACAAAGGTCAAAGCAACACCGACACGTCCGAAACGACCGGTGCGACCAATGCGGTGGAGGTAGGTCTCGGGGTCTGCATCAATGCCGTTTGCCATGGTCGGGACATCCTGAGATCTTGTTAGTGCCGTTACTTGGGCCAAAGTTAATGAAGTTATGACTTACATAGTTGATAACCATGGTGACGGACTGTACATCGATACCACGCGCGAGCACGTTGGTGGTGATGAGAACCTTGGCCTCTCCAGAACGGAACTGGTCAATGATACGGTCACGCTCGGGACCCTCTAGAGCACCGCTCAGTTGCGCGACCTTGTGGCCCTCGGCTACCATGCGCTGCTCCAGCTCCTCGGCAGTCTTTCGTGTACGCACGAAAATGATGGACGAAGCTTGCGTCATCAAGCCGTAGAATTTGAGTAGAGTGGCGTATTTGTCATTGTCCTTGTCGATATCAATGTACAATTGCTTGATACCTTCGATGGTCAGCTCCTCGTGTGCTAGAGTAAGTGTGTTTGCGTTGGGCGCGAAACGCTTCGCATATGCGATGACATTGGGCGGGAAGGTAGCAGAGAAGAGGACAGTCTGAATATCCTTGGGTAGCAGTGCCTTGACACGGGTACATTGGTCACCCAGACCCTGCTGGTCTAGCATGTTGTCTGCCTCATCCAAGACGAGGATCTTGATGTACTTGGAGTTGATCAACCGCCGCCTGAGCATGTCCTGGACTGTTCCTGGTGTGCCGACCAGGACCTGCGCATTGAACTGCTGTCCTCTACGTGACGGGTCAGGAATGGCAGCCATGGTCTTGAGACCGTCCATGAACTGTCCCATGTGAGTGATGACACCCAAAATCTGACGAGCAAGCTCTCGACTGGGCGCGAGCGCCAATGCCTGGGGTTCGGGGTTGGCGAGGTCGATGCGGGAAAGGATGTTGAGTGAAAAGGCAGCAGTCTTGCCAGTTCCGGATTGAGATTGTGCAATCATGTTGGTTGGTGGGTTCAACAGAAGTAGAGGCAAGGCCTTTTCTTGAACTTTGGACGGTTTGCGGAAATTCATGTTGCGGATGCCCTTGAGGAGTGCCTCGGAGCTGCATTTGTTAGTTTGTCCAGGCGGCGAGAGCGTCCAGCTTACAGTTGCAGGTCTTCGAATGACTTGACCGAGAACAGAGGGTTGTTCGGGTCGGCCTGCAAGTCGGCAAGCTTGACCTCGACATTGAACTTGGTGTCGGTCAGTTCAGAGCCATTGCCCTCTGGGCCGCTGCCGTCGACCTGAGATTGCTCGACTGATTCTGATGGTGTCTCTGCGGCAGCAGCATCTTGCTTGATAGGTGTCTCCTCCGCTGACGACATGGCTGGCGGCTACTGTAGTTCGCGTTGCGGGCGGTGAAGTTGAGTATCTCGCGGCCTGGTGGTCTCGGCGGTGTTGTTGTAGTATGGGCGGTGTTCTTTATGTTTTGGAGGCAATTCGATAAACAGATATATAGTCGCGTTGGTGGACACGCGCGACTGGAAGAATATGCTGTTGTTGTTGGAGTATGTACAGGGCACCGCGTTGGAAATTGTGAGAGCTCCAGAGAGCAGCTTTTGGCGGGGCTATGGCGCTAGCCGGATTTAGCGCCCGCGCTCGCGTTGCATGGACAGGGCCCAGCGTACGTAAGTACATATGTACGTATCCTGTGAGCATACTGCATCTTGTCGCGACCAAGCAAAGCGCCCACCTTTTTATGCGTATGCAGACTTGTGTGGCTCACACTAAGTGTTGTTCACAGTAGAGAATAGTGATATATACCAAACACAAGACCGTACTGCTGCAGCAACGTCATCGGATCAGATCCCGGCCTTCCCTGCCCGGCGCGAGCACCGCCTCCTCCTGCCTCCTGCCCCACTCTTGGGCATCCCATTCCCAAGGCTCCTTGTACATACATACATACATACATACATACATACACTCCACGTAACCCTCGCTGTCTTTGCCCCGGAAGTTCTTCACCCTCTATGTCTGGGGTGCCCATCTCCACCCTTGCAGCGTTCGACCCATAGCTTTCCACGAATCATGGATGTTGATATTGCGCCCCAGTTCGGCGCTGAACTCAAGGTATGCGAACGCGACTGTGCCACACCACCGAACATGTGTTAACTGAGAACCCCAGGATGGCTTCAAGAATGTAAACGCTTGGGTATGTTACCTGCACCCTATTATGTCCGCCCTGCGCGCTCATGAACTGTGCGCGCTGTGAGGTTTGCGCTCCTGCCGCTAACGTGAGAGGCTCCAGGTCTCCGGCGGTATCTCCTGGCTAGATGACATTCAGCAATTCTACCGCGAACGAAGCGCCATAGAGAAGGAGTATTCGGCGAAGCTGAGCGCATTAGCCAAAAAGTATTACGAAAAGAAGGCAAAGAAGCAGAGCAGCTTGAGTGTCGGCGACAACCCCACGGTCACTCCCGGCTCTCTGGAAAGGTACGGCTTCCGCTGCCATGGCATGAGGTCAACTAACGACAGCTTCCAGCGCTTCCATGACCACATGGGGAGTCCAGTTGAGCACTCTCGAATCTCGCGCAGCCGAACATGAACAATTCGCCGGCGCCCTCATTACACAACTGGCTGACCCCCTCAAGGTCCTTGGAACGAGGACCGAAGAATTGCGCAAACTTCACGGAGACTACGCAGCCAAGTTGGAAAAAGAAAGGGATAACCAATACGCGGAGTTGCGCAAACAAAAGGGCAAATATGACAGCGTCTGCCAGGAGGTCGAGAGTCGGCGCAAGAAAGTTGACACTGCGTTCGACCATGGCAAAGCAAAGGCTCGTAATGCATTTGAGCAACAGCAAGTCGAAATGCGCAATGTCAAAGTAGGTGACGCGCACCAAGTTTTGGTGTTCGATTGCTAATCTCTCACAGAACACTTATTTGATTAGCATTAATGTGACCAACAAGCAAAAGGCGATGTACTACCATGAGTATGTTCCTGAGCTACTAGATGTAAGTACCCTCACGGACAATTCAGGGCACTGTTGACCATCGCAGAGCCTGCAAGATCTTTCCGAAACACGAGTCCACAAGTTAAATACTATATGGTCGCTTGCCGCAGAGATCGAGACTCAAACGCTTACCCGAAGTACGGAGTATATGAAGCATCTGGCTGGCGAGATTCCGCGCAACAACCCCTTACTTGACTCTATGATGTTTGTGCGACACAATGCCGGTCCATGGCAAGAGCCAGGCGATTTCCAATTTGAGCCCAGTCCTGTGTGGTTGGACGATGCCAATATCGCCGTCGACGAGTCCGCGACCGTGTTCTTGCGCAACGTACTTACAAAATCAAAGTCTTCATTGGGAGAGCATAAACGGGAGCTCGAGAAAAAGCGCAAGGAGGTAGAGAATGCTAAAGCGGTACGACAAAAAGTAAGAGAAGGAAAGGATAAGAGGGACGAGGTGGAAATTGTTCGCGCCATCTTTGCGATACAGGAAGCGATGCATGAAGTCGAGCGCCAGAAAGTCAGCGCCGAAGTCGAAGTTTCTACAATTACTTCCGTTGTGGGTGATCTTAGCATTGGCGCAAGAAACCACAACTTCAAATCTCAAACATTCAAGATACCTACAAATTGCGACCTCTGCGGGGATCGGATATGGGGTCTATCTGCAAAAGGCTTCGATTGTAAAGACTGTGGTTACACATGCCATAGCAAGTGCGAGATGAAGGTCCCTGCAGACTGCCCTGGAGAACAGACCAAAGAAGCGAAGAAGAAACTGAAGGATGAACGACAGAAGGCTGCGCACACTGTAACCGCAACGAACGGTACCGCAACGAGCTCGGGTGCAGAAATGCCGCGACTAGGAAGGAGCGATACAGTGAACTCGATGAACACGCTGAGCTCTGGCTACTCAGCAACCGCACAGCGATCGATAGCCGGAGGAGCCATGTCGCCGACCGTCGAAGAAACCCCCCCGCCTCCAGAAAAGAAAGCACCAGCGCCAGCCCCAGGTCCTAGGAGGAACCGGATAGTCGCACCCCCACCTGCCCAATACATCAAGGCTGACGACGATATTCCGACTCCCACATCAAAATCTGCTGAACCAAAGGGCAGAATGCTGTATGCTTACCAAGAAAACGGCGATGGCGAGGTGACCGTGTCTGAGGGTACTGATGTCACTATACTAGAACCTGATGGTATGTCTATTGTGATTCTCACTTAAGTTCAAGTTACTGATATATTATTACCAGATGGATCTGGATGGATCAAGGTTCGCGCTGGCTTCAAAGAAGGCCTCGTTCCTGCAGCGTATGTGGAGATAATAGCAGCAACTCCACCCACTACAGCCTCTACATTCTCATCAGCGCGCCCAGACTCGACATACTCTGCATCTTCTGCGTCGACATCAAATTTGAACTCGGCCGCTCCCGTTAAGAAGAAGGGCCCAGCTGTAGCGCCAAAACGTGGCGCAAAGAAGCTCAAATACGTCGAAGCACTATATGATTACACTGCGCAAACCGACGTGGAGCATTCCATGGTAGAAGGAGACCGCTTCGTGCTCATTAATATGGACGCTGGCGACGGGTGGGCAGATGTAGAAAAAGATGGTGTCGTACGCAGTGTTCCCGCGAATTACATTCATCTAGTTTAGGCCACTCGCCTTGTATCAGTCCGAGAGATGGGCACTTTCTGATAGGGCAGCTGGCTCATTGTATCATTAGGGTCAAGATGGCAAACAAAAGGGCGCTCTTTGTCGCCAATATGGCTTGATATTCTGTACATAGTTTTAAAAACTATCATTATTCGAGGACTGAATCTTATCGGCCACTACTACTGTTCCTAGTACATGGATTGCAGAGGAGCCACTTCGGAATGGAAGTTGGCTGTGTTACACCAGGCCTGCGTGAGAACGGGCATGGTCGCAAATACCTACTGTTACTTCAATGTCCATTGTAGAAATGCCTGCATAATCAACTCCAATTCCACGCCTGGATCCACCATCCACCTTTCTGCATTTCCTTATCATGAGCGTCATCACATTTGATTGTGTTATGCTGTATCCGATAACGTGGCATCTTATCACTTGCAACCACCTAACACAGTATATGCCAAGGCTTTGCAAAACATGACAACAGGGCTACATGAAAGTATGAGGTTTGCGGCACATTGGCTTCAAGGAGTACCTGGTAGTCCTTTCGCTACGTAGTTTGATTCAGTATACAGTTTCGTCGTGGGTCAACTTGGGTTGGTCTGCTCAATTGACCGGTTGGCATGCTGGCGGAAAGAGGTATGATCGAACTGGGCGCACATGCACTGAGTCGCGCAATACCACGTTCTTTGCAACACGTGTGGGGGTGGAGAAAGGTCATTATATTTTATGGTTCACAGTTGGTGCTGAATATCGTGTCTGACTGCCCTCTACTATTCTCTATACCAACAAGACGCATGCACATGGTGGTGATAGAATAGCGTTAGGCTGCCTACATTCACACCCGCTATGCAAAATGAAGATTACAAATACAATTTTGAGAAGAAATCTTGCTAATATGACGTCAAGAAACAAGCAGAATAGTCTGACTATGACGGTTGCTGGTGCGACAATCCACGCTCGTGGAATATGTGGGCATGTGGTTGGACATGAGCTAGCTCAGGGGCAGTGTTGCACAAATTATCCACGTAAGACTAACCCACATGGAAACTAACTTTTGTCCTATGAAATGATTTAATTTGGCGGGTTTCTTATCTCTCACTACGCGACAGGCTGATGCTTGGTCCTGAAGCTATGCAACCATGGTTTTACAGCCAAGAACTGTATACTTGACAGTCGCACAGTCTGACAAACTGGAAATGCATTAGATAAATTGAAGCAATACGCCTGAATAGACGTATGAAGAGACATATACAGACGAGAGTCAATTTCTTTTACTCGTCCTTCATTCCGTCCCGCTTGTTTCTACAATCGCAGTCACTCCCTCTTCACCTGCTTGAGAGGTGACTATGGGCCTCTTAAGCCCGCCGCTCCTTTTCAATCTTCAAATAGGCAACTGCCAATTGATTGAGAGGGGTAATAGCTATCTATTGTGCGCCGCTTGCTTCCTTCCTGCCTCCTTTACAAACAGAGTAGTCCACTAGCGAAGGCGTGTCTTGGCACAGGCATACAAACAAACTGCGTTTGTCCTCTACCTCCCTGTATGAGACGCTCTACAAATCCTGCTCACAAATCATCATTCACACTCAGTTCAGTCGTTCCCTCCGTCACAGCCATTATTTTGTGCCTACACCTGGAGCTCCATCTCCATTCCACTCATTAAACACTATCAGCATACTTCGACGCCTCACACGCGGACCCAAGCAAGACCAAAGCGAGCAAACATTGC